GCTTTACTCACTGTATTATATGGTCAGTGTGGTAAGGCCACACCTCTGTGTAAGTTAAGGCCTAGTTTCACAACAAAATGGAGATGAGAATAACACAAACACAACAGTCTTTATTTTCACGATACTGCCATCTTGATGCCCTGCACTGTAAAATGAAACTTTTACTGCCCAAGGGTTGCTTAGAAGTATGTATTTCAAAATGGTTCGTTTTTTGTCACTCAAGTTCATAATGTTGCCTGACAACCATCTCTTCTGTGAAACTGCACCTGTTGATGATTCCATGTTTACTGGTGCCAACAGAAATACACGAGACTTAACTTTGTATGCACACAGATCACAAGGTTGAAGCTTTTCTTCCACACCGAACTTCTGTAGAGCAGTAGTAAAGGGAAAACACACAGCAAAGACAAATTACTACACAAAACCTTCCTTGCAGCTGCCTTAGCTTAAATGCTCAAAAACATCAACAACTAATAATTCATGTGTTTGCTCTAATGACTTCATAAACCATACATAAAGAAATGTTACAAGATCTTCATCTGTATACAGTAACTACTGTTTTCACCACAACAATGATAGTATAGTGTGGATACGAAAAGCAGTAATTAGGAGTTTAACTCCTTACAAAATTAAAAACTGGAATAACACAGAGGAAACCTTGTTAAAAAACACATTTCCTGCACACATTGCATGGGCATGAGTTCCCACGTTTGTTTCTTCCCCCCCAACTCAAAAGTCTGATATTTTAGGTATGAAATTCAATAGTTAAAAAGCAAGACTTCGACATATTTAAGAACTGGACACAGCCAAAGAGATCTAATCAATCCTATTATTAAGTCAATTAAAGGTTAAATATTGTAACGGCAACAAAAACCAACAGGTGTGTATGTGGAACTCCAGGATCCGGATTGAGAACGCCTGGCACGGGGCAACATTTTAAAAACTTTCCATAAAAGCCTAAAACTGTTCACAAATGAAAGCCCTAACTCATACTCTACTATACAAATTCAGATTTCCTGGGCTGCTTTACAGTCAGTAATCACATTTCCAGACTGGAAAGCTTAGGGTTAAGTGCATATACCACTGTCACTGAAAAGGAACATAAAGGCAAAAATGCTAGATTTGGCCCTGACTCTTCCAGTTCAAAGCGCTTTCTCTCATAACAGCAGGCCTTAATCCACTGTGCTCAGCAGAGCACACTTGCTTTGTTTAATCACATGCACACTTGGCACATTCTGTTGAAAATACAGTTATCTTAATAGGTCACGCTAATAATACTTTTTGCCAGTGAACTACAATAGAAAAAAGGACAACATATGGGCCATCTCATGACAAATCAGAACTCATACGCTTTTAATCAGGGGTCACGGGTTTTAATGAAACACGTTACCATTGGTGTTTTATCACAGTGAGAAAATTCCCCCTTTCACAGTTTCAGATTGAAGTACAAACTCATTTTATATCTGAGTGTCTGATTTTGCATTTCCAGGTGGTCATCTGGCCCATCTAGTGTGTTTTGACTGTTCTGAAATTAACTGATTCAAGGATCTCGTCCAGCTGTTTCTTGAAATAAGCCAGGGTATCAGCTTCAGCAGCACGGCTGGGCACTGTAGCTTGCTCTGTACTCCTACAGCCTGGATGAGATTGCAATCTGCATTTCACAGAAAGAAATGATTCGAGATTTGAAGGAACTAAGTGCACATTTCTCTCTGGGTACTCTGGAACAGACAGCACACTTCAAAGTATAAATCTAATGAGGTAATCAGCCTTCTCAAACATGCCAAACCTGAAATTACAGTCCTATACAGAGGACTCAATGAATGATCCTATTTTAAAGCCATCAAGACTATAATTTTCTCACAAAGCTGTAATGGAAAAACTGTCTCTGAAAAATGTTTTTAGTTATACAGTTAATATTGCCCTGTCTTCTTTTTTCATGATTTTAAAAACTCTCGGGGTAACGAGTCAAGGTTAAAGGTACTTCTACTGTCATCAAAACAGAATCTTGACTTTAACTAGTACTTTCACTAACCAAGCAATTTTCAACAAAACAAGACCACCTGCAGAAACAGATCTCTGAGGCGTAACCATTTCCTCATATCGAGGGATCTTCTTAAAATGCAACATAAGCACCTTCTGTAATGTTTGGAAAATATGTTGTCTCCCTTCAAGAGCAGACTACTGGTAACCAGTTCAGTAGAATCTGAGAGCGTGCTGGGCCAATCAATTGTACAATTACGCAGATGTACCATAGAATTCCTGGGCAACACAGTGAGGCAAAACAGACCTGATGACAGTGCAACACAATCATGAGTTTCTGATTTACACTAATTTTAGTTCCAGGAATTTTAGACATCTGCTCTCTGCCAGTTGAAGAGATAGGCTGCTCCTTCCAGCTGGCTCCTAATACATAGGCTTAACCCATTCTAGGCCTGTGTACTCAGGCAAACCCTCAGTCCTTAAGTAACACCAGCATCTCACAGTTCACAGAGATATATTTTCCTTACTATGGCTCGAATGTAATTATTACAAGTGTCGTGTTCTCAAATCGGTCAAGATAGGTAAAACACATTACGTAAAACCTCATTTCACCACATGGGTGAAACAGCCCTGTGCCAGGGGCGCTACCGTATCGCTGTAGCAACTGCAAGCTTATGAACTTCACCCAGGCCCACAGCCACTGAAAAAGAGTTTGCAGTCAGACTCCTACAGTTAACGTCCCAGTTAATGACTAAACAATTCCTCTGCTCCATTTTCACACAGAGAGTGGAATTTCTCCGAGGAGGGTTCCAGCAGTTGTTCCCGAGAAAACTAAATCCTTCTACTCCAGCTTCACAAGTTGGCTTTTACTGTAACACTTGTATGATCACGCTTGCTACAGACTGATTAAAAAGTCCCGGAGGCTGCTTTTTTTGTGTAACGTGCTGTAGGACAATTCCAACGCGACTCTTTTGATAAACTGGTAAACGTTTTTCAATTTGCATGACATTAATAAGACGGTAACCGCCGTGGTAAAGTCACCAGGGACCTCAACTAGTCAGCATACAAAATGAGCATTCAAAGAGAGTATGTGGCTCTGCACGCCATGTACAAAAAAATCCTAGGCCCAAATCTGATCAGAAAGCAACTGTTTCAGTCTTTAAAACAACGATGAATATAGTGTAACAAACTTGCACTATACTTTGGGACTTTTCTTTTCTTGCACTTTTCTCTGGGCTTGCCAATCTGTGTGTACACACGGATGGACTGGTCGTCCCCTACAGTATCATCACACACCTAGAATAACACTTGTTCCATCTAGCGCAGGTCGCTCCGTGAAATACACCAGGGCAGTCAGTTTGAACAAGGTAGATTCCCAGAACTGATCGTGTGAAGAACTATATGCCCTGTTCTGGGGTTTAAATGCAGTTTGATCAGAGATGACACACAATCTATCAGATCTTGAAAGCTTTAACATTAAAACAAAAGTGTGCACGACAGTGTCTAAACTCAGAAATGAGTATCGGTTCTTAAGGCGATTAGGGTTAGTTCAATGCTCACATCCGAAGCGCACAACTTCAGCCGTGAACTTCCTGGCGTTACTTAGTAATCGCTGCAATAAAGTGCCAAAAACACGATCTGTCCTAACTAAGACAGCATTTTGTTTCCCACGTGAACTCTCTCTTCCTTTTCACGAAAAAGACGGGACACCCGGTTCACTGAAGCGTTTATTACGATAATGATAATACGGTACGATGACACAATACTTCAATCCGTGCCTGTTATTGGCCTGTATCATCCTCAGTGTCTTAGAAATGCGAGTTAATATCAGACGAAGCAAAACGCGAGAAAACAGTCGCATCGCATGACTTAACTTGTTAAAAAGCGTAAGGATCTGAACCAGCTAAGTGTTTTTTTTAAAGCAGTCGAGAGATAGTCTCCAAGGAAGTGGTCTCATCACAACATACAAAAATATTGTCGTACAGTACCGGTTGGCTAAGAAATGCTCCCCCCCCGTATTAATTCAGCGTCGGTCATTAAGCATTAAGGAACAGGTCTTTTTGTTCGTTAAGCATGCACGACTGTTAATCTTGCAACCTCGCATGTTCTTCCAGTCGTTTTCGGATTGAAACGCCTCGAGCCGTTTCACGGGTACAAATAAGGTCCAGTACAGTACGTGAACACTTGACCACGATCGCAAATCACCGGCATTAGGAAGGAAAAATAACGAAATACAGGGATTGGGCCGCTAACCTATTTAGAATAAAGAAATGAAATGCATGCGGACTAATACATAGCATAACTGCTACTTGTGAGGTGTTTTTTTTTTGGTCGAGTCTGATGTTTCAGAATCCTTCTGTTCCCAACACTCCCTTTGTTTTCTTTGTTACAGAACAGCTACAGTGTTGCACTAAGTCTGGCAACAGACTTAAACTACCATTCCGACAGGGACTCTCGCTCGTTCTACTAATAAAAAAAAAACTCAACTACTTTCATTTTCCTTTCTTTTTACACATTTCCTCGCGTAGTCAGGCGGGTTGCCCCAGTCCTAAATGCCTTTTTTAAAAAAAAGAAACGGAACCCTGCATCGACGCAAAATAATAATAATAACAACAATAATCGATGATAAAAAAGCAACAAACTACGCTATTTCCACGAAGGCCTATTCCACCACCCTCCAGATACAGGATAAATCTGGGTACTTGCGTGAAAAGTCTTAACGCATCAGTACAACACATCCGAAAACATTTCACAGCACATACTGCTTCAAACCTCTCTCCCCTTGCAGTGACTCTCACGGGTCGAGCGGTCCTTTTTTTTTTGTAAAGTCATCAGCCAAAACTATCATTGCATTCGAGAGCGGACGAGCTGACAGCATTAGGAGACAGTCCAACGTCCCTATTTCTAAAACTTACAGTTCCAGGCTCCATGACGATGACCTAAGGTTTTGATGCAACCCGCACCTTCCTGTATACCCAATTTTACACACCGCATTTAGGACATTAGAAGGGATTACTTACACAATCGCCTGCTGATTCGCTACCCCGAAATAGCCTATTTGCACCCTGGCGTGAGCGAAGCGACGCTGTTCATAGTTCATTCCTCAGTGTTTTGCGTCCGTGCGTGATTCTGCCCCGCTTCCGCCCGCAGGTCTCCTTTCTCTCTGTTTCTCCCTCTGTTTTGTGTCTCAGAGGTTCACAACGGCAACAACGGCTCCCGCAGCAGCAGCAGCAGAACGGAACGTCAACCCGGAAGCACAAGCTCCTCGCCTCCACCATAGACAG